GAGGAGGAGAGAGGAGGAGGAGAAGAAAGGGAAGAGGAGAGGAGGAGGAGAGAAAGAGGAAGAGGAGGAGAGGAGGAGGAGGAGGAGAGAAAGAAGGAAGAGGAGGAGGGGAGAGGGCAGGGGCAAGGACAAGGAGGAGGAGGAGGATAGAAAGAGGAAGAGGAGAGGAGGAGGAGGAGGAGAGAGGAGAGAGAGGAGGAGGAGGAGGAGGGAGGAGGAGGAGGAGAGAAGAAGAGGAAGAGGAGGAGGATGAGGAGGGGAGGAGGAGAGGAGGAGGAGGAGGAGGAGGGAGGAGGAGGAGGAGGAGGAGGAGAGGAGGAGGAGGAAGAGGGGGGGGGGAGAAGGAGAGGAGAGGAGCAGGAGTAGAGGAGGAGGAGAAAGAGGAGGAGAGAAGAGGAGTAGGAGGAGGAGGAGAAAGAGGAGGAGAGGAGGAGGAGGAGGAGAGGAGAAGGAGGAGAAAGTGGAGGAGGAGGAGGAGGAGGAGAGGAGGAGGAGGAGGAGGAGGAGGAGGAGGAGGAGAGGAGGAGGAGAGGAAGAGGAGGAGAAGGAGGAGAAGGAGAGATGGAGAAGATGGAGAAGAAGGAGAAGAAGGAGAAGAAGGAAAAAAGAAGGAAAGAAGAAGAAAGAGAAGAGAGTGAGGAGGAGGAGGAGGAGGAGGAGGAGGAGGAGGAGGAGGAAGGAGGAGGAGAGGAGGAGGAGAGGAGGAGGAGGAGGAGGAGGAGGAGAAGAAGGAAGGAGAAGAAGAAGGAGGAGGAGAAGAAGAAGGAGGAGAAGAGAAGAAGAAGGAGGAGAAGGAGAAGAAGAAGGAGAAAGAGAAGAAGAAGGAGAAAGAGAAGAAGTAGAGAAAGAGAAGAAGTAAGAAGGAGAAAAGAAGGAGAAGGAGAAGGAGAAGGAGAAGGAGAAGGAAGGAGAAGGAGAAGGAAAGGAGAAGGAAGAAGGAGAAGGAGAAGGAGAAGGAGAAGGAGAAGGAGAAGAGAAGGAGAAGGAGAAGGAGAGGAGAAGGAGAAGGAGAAGGAGAAGGAGAAGGAGAAGGAGAAGAAGGAGAGAAGGAGAAGAAGAGAGAAGGAGAAGGAGAAGGAGAATGAGAAGGAGAGGAGAAGAGAAGAGAACTAGAAGGAGAAGGAGAAGGAGAGGAGAAGGAGAAAGAGGAGGAGGAGGAGGAGGAGGAGGAGGAGGAGGAGGAGGAGGAGAGGAGGAGAGGAGGAGGAAGGAGGAGGAGGAGGAGAAGAAGAAGAAAGAAGAAGAAGAAGAAGAAGAAGAAGAAGAAGAAGAAGAAGAAGAAGAAAAAAAAAAAAAGAAGAAGAAGAAGAAGAAAAAGAAAAAGAAGAACCAAAAGAAGAACACAAATAAGAATAAGAACATGGAGAAGAACACGAAGAAAAATAAAACAAACAAGAAAACATTTACATGCACATTACATTACAGGCACGCTACACACACCACACGCACACACACACACACGCACACGCCGCACGCACACGCACACGCACACACTCGCTCTCGCTCTCGCTCTCGCACGCACGCGCACGCGCACGCACACACACACACACACACACCACACACACACACACACACACACACACACACACACACACACACACACACACACACACACACACTACACACACACACACACACACACACACACACACACCACACACACACACACACAACACACACACACACACACACACACACACACACACCACACACACACACACACACTCACACTCACACGCGCACACACCAGCAAATGCACACACACCAGCAAATGCACACACACGCACATGCACACACACGCACATGCACACACACGCACATGCACACACACGCACATGCACACACACGCACATGCACACACACGCACATGCACACCCACACACATGCACCCGCACACACGCTCCGGCACACGCACCCACGCACCCGCGCACACGCACACGCACACCACACCACACGCACCACGCACCCACACCCACGCAGCCACGCACCGCAGCCACGCACACGCAGCCACGCACCACGCACACGCACCCACGCACACGCGCACGCACACACACGCAGCCACACACACGCAGCCACACACACGCAGCCACACACACGCAGCCACACAGCACACGCAGCCATGCACACGCACACGCAGCCATGCACACGCACACGCAGCCACGCACACACACGCACACGCAGCCACGCACATGCACACGCAGCCACGTACACGCAACCACGCACACGCAGCCACGCACACGCTGCCACGCACACGCAGCCACGCACACGCAGCCACGCACACGCAGCCACGCACACGTAGCCACGTACACGCACCCACACACACGCACCCGCGCACACGCACCCGCGCACACGCATCCACGCAAACACAACCATGCACGCGCAACCACACACATGCAACCATGCACGCGCAACCACACACATGCAACCATGCACACGCAACCACACACACTCAAACACGTACACGCAACCACACACACTCAGCCACGTACACACAACCAACCATGCACACACAACCACGCTTCCATGCACCAACACATGCACACATTCACACATGTACATGCACACATTGTGATACAGATACAAAGACATAGCCACTGACATACCACTAGACACACAGAGACTGAGAGAAAGTAAGAAAATGAGAGAAAAGATACACAGAGAGAGAAAGCAAGAACAAAGTAAAAGATACAGAAGAAAGATAGGGTACGAAATGAAATCAGAAAAAAATCAATGAATGACAGATAGGGCCTATAGGGTACAGAGAAAGAGAGGGATAGAGAGAACTAATAAAATAATTTTTAAAAAGCAATAATTTTTCTTACTATCATTAATAAATTAGGCAGTGACATTCTCAATCCAGAATGAGTATATAATGCTATGCAAACACTAAGTTATACTTCAGAAAATGCTGAGGGATATCATTCTAAGCAAAGACAGAATCAATAACACTGGAAGTATAATAGCACACACATTAGACAGTCAATCAGCTGGTTTGTTAAAATTGTGCTAGGCCCAGCCCAATGAATATTAGTTAATACAGCCATGCATATACACAGAAATAAATGCAAACCTGTCGATCTATCAGATATACATATACATTCATTTCTCTATCTATACGGTAGATATGCATGTTTAGACTGATAGATATGAATTTATTTCAGTGTAAATGCATGTCCATATAATGGATGTTCACTGGGTAGGACCTCACACAAGTTTAACAAATCAGCCTTATATCTTGTAACAGAATATACACCAAAAATACCAGATTGTAAAACTCATTGGTGTACAACTGAGAAACCAGTAAGATGCTGCACTGAGATAATAACATGTATTTCTACAAGCCTGCTAGAGAAATAAAAACTGCCATGCATCATCTGCAATGCAAAAGTGTGTAAATTATGTCCATTATATTAAATTATATCCCAATAGGCAACAGAAATAGCTTGCACTTCTTATAGCACTGCACACTATATAGATATATTTTCCTTTAATCATATTGCAGGAACTGGCAATCAGCTTCACAAACAAAATCAAAAGCAAGCATCCAAAAGAAACAGCCATTAAAGTGATTCTGCTCTAAACAGCAGTTCCTCCTTGCAAGGCTTGAAATTCTGTTTACATATTTCAAACTATCTGGACTGTTTATATTTAACTCCTTCCAATTTTCTCCTTTCACAGCTATAATATAAATTCATCATAGATCTGATTTCAACCTATTTTACATGTTTTAATAAGCATCATCTCTAAACCTCTGTACAGAATGAATACATAAATCACATATGTATACTTAGGATACACTAGAAAATCATGTAACCATATCTTACATATTACCAAACACAACTTGATAGAATATAGTACTGAATGTAGATATTCCATCACAGTTAAAGCTATTTCAATCAATTCAATTACAAAGTGTAATACAAACTGTAGTTCTATTATCTAAAAAAAACACTACTTGACTCATCTATCAACCATGTTTAAATATCAATTGCTGCTTTACCTAAATCTAATCTAATTGAATGGAAGTAAATGGAAAAGAAAAATCTATAAAGAATATAATCAAATATTTTCAGATAGCTAAAAAAATAAGATGGGTTGACACAGGCCTATAATCAACCCATTAAATTTCCTGCCTCATATACTTCTTTAAATTATGATGTGTACACAAGAACATCATAATATGATATATTAAAATAATAAGAAAACTGTGGTATGTTTATCAAAGCAGATGTATTTTCACAATGATTCCCTTTTTAAATTAACAATCTAGAGGCACCAGCAATTTTCTGAAATTGTGACATATCTGCAGGTCATCAAACCACAGGCTTTCCTCAACTATACAATTCTCTTTCTAATAATAGCTACATCAGTCACAGAAATCCTGCAATCTTTCCAATCTAACCAAGAAAATTTCACTTACAGTTACCATGTGATATGCTAAAGCACAACACATCAACGAGCATCAGTGGCTTTTTCTCCATGATGTGACAAGACATCAACTAGTACAATCTATGGGTTAACCCATAGTGTGTGAAATTACCCTCTTTGATCCCACCCTGTGCTGCAAAGTAAAGCTTCTCAAAATTAATCCCCTCACTTTTTATTTGTTTGTTTATTTTGCTTCATCTTTATCATTGAGCTGCATGGGTTTAAGCCCAGTGCAAGAAAACCATAAATAAGAGCAAAAATGCTCATACATCTGGTAAATGCTAAAATCACAATATTCTCATTAGATTTTAAAACAAGGCTGCTGTTATAAGCTTTTTAATGCTTAAATAATTTTCTTCTGTAGTCTCTAGTTTATTCACCTTTTTCTCTTCATTTCTGACTAATTTTTAAAAAATGCAATGTAACTCTTATCCAATCCTCGCAATTTAAAAATCATGAAAACTTGTGTACACAAACATATTCTAATATTTGCATGGTTCATAACATTTTGTCTGCAAGTGTGAACAGCCAATCAAATATCATCAACCTGGATTTGGAGGGTTCAGTCAAAC